CAAGTACCTCAGCCAATGGGGAAAGAGAGAGGGAACTGTGGCTGGGAAATTGGGATAAAAAGAGGCTGCGTCCTCCATGAATTTGAGAGACCCCATGGGAAATGCCCACAACCTCTCCCTTTATTCATGAATAAAGTTGCGGGACTCCTCTGTCTCCTTTTTGGACATAAACCTCTGGTGCTTGTGGATTAATTTTCCTAACAAGCAGGGGCAAAAACCCCCACAGCACACACTGCCCTGGCTACAGGTGGGAGTACTTTTCACACCACCAAAGCCAGCTTGGGGAAACTTCACTTCTGAAATTAGTGGTGTGCTGAGATTAATGGCTGAGGAGAGAGGAGTAATTTATTTATTTATTTAGTTTTAAAATTGGTGGAAGCTGAGGATGCTCAGCTCTTATTGCATTTGGATCCCTTGACCTTCTACTGTTGGTGTTAAAAGATGTTTARCAGACAGAAAACTATAGATCTTGGTGCCTTCAGCTATCAAAGATGTCAGTAGGAGAATGAAACCTGCACCCTGGACAGCACCCTGGGGATCAGCAGATACAGTGGTGGTGGGGGCGGGGGTGGTCAGCAGGACATAGCCCCTTGTTTTTCCTCCCAAAGCCATTCCTGTTGTTGCCTGCAGCCCTTGGGGATCTGTGAGGGGCTGCAGCCCCCAAACCCCGTGGGGCTGTGACGAACTAGAATGGGTTTGTTCGATCCCTGGTCTCTGTTTTCTTCTCCCAGCACACAGACACATCCTCGGGTTCTCCACCAGCCTGAGGGCATCTGGCATTGCCCAGCCAGGTTTCAGAGCCCCCACAGCCAGCAGCAGAGCCAAACTGGTGCAAAGCACACACCAAAGCTCTGTTCCTGAGGAACTCACATGRGAGTGACATGGGGGAGTCTCATTCACCAGAACAAAAGTTCTCCACTAATCTGGTTCTATCTTTTTCTCTCTTTCTCTCTTCTGTGACTGCACTCTGCAGACTGAGCAGTCCCATGCAACCCCAGAYGATGCCTTTTGCCATCTCCAGAGTTGACAGCTCCACCTTTGACTGAAGGCCACCCCTGCACAAGCTCAGAGCACAGACAGACCCTGTATTTGGAGTTTCAGTCCCTGGCCAGGAAAATTCCAGCCTGACACTCATCACCAGGGATTTAGAAGGGCCTCCCATGTGTAATCAACTCTTGCCTCTAAAAACTCATATTGAAAATCCTGAGGAAGAAAAACAAAATAAAAATCCCAAGGTCTCCTATGAACTGTTTCATCCCTCAGGCTTGAAAAGAACTGAGCCAACTAAGAAGAATTTTCATTCCTTTTTTTTTTGAATGAGTTTGTGCTCCACGTGAGCCAGCTGAGACCATTTTGATGTGACTGCAAATCCTCCCAGAATGTACTTTAAAATGAAAATGCTGAGAGATCCTTTGCAACAAAAGCATCCTTACAAGTCTCCTTCACACCTTTTGTTTTCTTTTGCTAAATGAAAAATCAATTACTTTTCAATAATTACTTTTCAGTGCAGTGCAGTACCAGAAACGGCTGGAGACTCATTTTAAAAACTGAAATTGAAGCATGTCTGCTAGTTTGACATCGGGCATCTAAATCAGCAGATCCTCAAATCCMTTGAGAAGGAGGTGCAAAAACACACATGGGCACCCAAACTCTGAYACTGGAGAGCAACAGCAGGGAGGRAAAAGGCAGAATCCAACAGGACCMTTGAAGTAGAGCTTCTGRCACTTCCTCTGGGCTSCAAARCTCAGAGCTCAGCATTTGTGAGGATGGAGAGTGAGGGAGGAGCTGCTCAGAGCACACAGACACCCAGGCAGTGCCCACACCAGGAGCACAGATGAGGCTGATTCACCAGAATCCTCAGCTCCTTCAACCAAAACAGAATCACCCAAACCCCAGCCAGTGTTTGGAGAGCTCTGATTTGATGCTGGCAGATGTGACAAGGGTCAGTCAATGCTGGAAAGTGAGAGGTGTTTGTGCATCCCTTGGATTAAGAATGAGGTTTAAWCAGTTATTCCATGTGCCTTCATTCCTGGCCTTCCCACACTGAAATGCTGTAACAGATTTTACACCTCAAGGGGGAAAATTGCTCTGAATCCCTTCAATTTGGCCCCGTGGGAGCAAGTTCACCCTGCAGGGCTCGGTGCATCCTGCACTGACACCGTGACAGTTCCCCAGMGCACTGAACACTCCGTGCTGGAGGCAGCACAGTCTGCAAAAAGCACTTGGAGCTGGCAGCCTCACAAAAATGACAGCACTGTGCAAGGCAAAAAGCCCCAGAATCCCATTTTCTGCAGCTGGCACTTGGTGTTGGRAAGCACAACGTGAGCACAGGAGGATTTGCTGCTCTCCCTCCGTGCTGTCCCCGTGCTGAGCTGCCCTGGTGACACTGGCATGAGCTGCTAGCAAAGGCCAAGGCCCTGAGCCCTTGCTTCTTTCCAAAAAGTAACCCATTGCCAAGGATGAAAAGTGTTTTTCTTCTAGAGTTTTCACTGCTCAGTAAACTGATGTTTATTTTGCTGCCTCATTCCGAGGMATTTTTGGATATCAGCAGAAGGTCAGGAGCTATGCTGGTATAATGTAGCTTTGCCTTACCAACCTGTTAGAAACTTTTCAAATCTCCCTATCATGAAAATCTACACTAAATTTTTTGTCAGCTGGGGTGATGAAAATGTTTATATGTCTTGGCTATCTCTGTCCTGATCATCAATTATCTACATTCACAACTTWGGAGTCAAAGTCCAGCTGACCTTCCTGACTATTCATTTTTGGTCTTTGCTTGCCAGGAAAGCAGATGTTTGCTTCAGCTATTCTCTTAATTGAATTTTTGCTTTCCTGGATTATCTCCAGAGAGTCCTTGRAAATGGATAGTTGGTAGAAAATGACAGCTCTTGCTTACAGGGAAAATGGGATTTGTGCAGATCACTTACATGTTGCATAGGAAGGTTTTATTGTGGAGCTGTCTTGGAATATAAATGGCAAAGCTTTTCAGGCCATCGAGACACTTGCTTTGTTCCTTCTCCCACTAAACATCCATTCCTGGGGAGCAAATGGGATTGGGGTTCAAGGCATTGGCACCAAGGTGAGCGTGCCCCTGCTTTTGGAGAGGGCATTCCAGATCCAACCTGACCATTTCAGAACCCCAGAACAGAGGGGAACCCAAGGCACTGACTGTTGGTTTGCACACAGGGAAGAAAATCTTTGTTTTTTCCTCCAGATCCAACCTGACCATTTCAAAAACCCAGAACAGAGGAGAACCCAAGGCACTGACTGCTGGTTTGCACACAGGGAAGAAAATCTTTGTTTTTTCCCTGTGTGTTACCATCAGTTCATTTCCCAGCTCTCACTCTCCCACTTCAGATGCAGATGGTCCAACAGACCCAGACTCCAGGCCTGCAGTCAATGAAACAATTTGGTGCACATTTTGTATATGTGGAGGATATATTCCAGGAGTGGAGCCTTTGTAACCTTAACTAAAGAGAGCGTTGCGGTCTCMGTAAACAGTTTCATCTTTAAAAAGAACTTGAAAACATAAAACACTACTACAAAGACACTACCACTACATACAAAATGTGTGTTTGCCCAGGAGAAATGTTCTTGATTAGTGAAGCCTGAGATTTGATTTTCAGAGCAGCCACTGAATRTCTCTGCATCCAGCTTTAGATGCAGAAACTGGGTTTGAGTTCTGGCTGCTCAGCTGCAATCCAGGTTCCCATTCTGGAGGCACCAGGTAGTGCCACGAAGCCACTAAACAATAGAAGAGAAACAGGGATTTCATCTCCTACCACCTACAAACAATAATTATATCCCCAGAAGAAAGCATTTGAGGAAGGAATAATTTTTTCTCTAAGAATTGTTTCCCAGGTCTTGCCTCATTTGAGTAAAACACAGCAAAGCCCTACATGCTGACAACAGGCAAATACATTTTTGTATTGATCAATGAACTAGAGCTAAAACTTGACTMATAAAGTAAAATCCCTTCTTTTAAGGCATAAGGAAATCTTTGTCAGTTTTGGAATATAACCACTCATGTAAACTCTGGAAACTCTCTCCATACAGACTTGTCTTTATTGAACAAGGATCAAGTTCAAGTGACACAAAAGCCTTTTCTCAGCCTTTGTGGGCCACAGAACACTTCTGGTAACTCCAAGTTGTACAGTTTGGCCTTTCCCTTGTTCTGCACAGAAAACCAGTGGCCTTTGCTGCACAGGGATAAAATCAGGCTGGGGGCAGATTTTTAAGTCTCTCTGGCAACACTACTCTGGCTTCCCAAAAATTACTTCAAGCCAGTTCACAGGGAAATTAAAGCAGTGCCTCACCCATGGCCTGTACAATGACAGATCTGCTCACAGAGGAATAAAGCTGAATACACTGAAGCATGAATGACTGCTCTGAATTCCAAGTGAATTCCTTCCCTACCCSCTTCAGCACGACTCATTCCATGCCCTGTTCCCAGCAGCCACAACACAGCACAAGCAGCATCCTCAGCAATACTGGGAATTACAAATTTCATCATCCTGATTGCAGAAGAGCCTGAGTGCAGCAGCTCCCTGCTGACAGCCAGGCTGCAGCCACAAACCATCTCCTTCAGAGGAGGATCCAGCACATTTTTGGCCCCATGCTGGTTTCCATGCAAAGGGGCTGARCAGAGCTGCCACAATTGCTGTAGAGGGATCAGCCAGGCAGTGAAGGAWGGAGCTCATTGTCCCCTCAGGCACAGACACCTCCAGCCCCTGCCAGTCCAGCCCTGGTCCCTGTCTCACAACAGATGTTGCAACAAAAACCTGAAGTGTTTACCCAAGACTCAAGGGCTTTGTCACATTTTGGCACACAGGGTACACAAAATGTCACATTACCACACCTTCAAACTCACTTTAATGGGGGAACAGGTCCTTCACATCAGGCTTACCCAGCTTGGCAGCCCTGCTGCTGATGTAACACACACCCATTGTTAAATCCCACCATCCCACAGAAATATTTTAAGCACAGGAATCAAAACTTACACAGTGCGTGCTGGAGATGATGACGGAGCTGGAGATGAAGCTCAGCCCATCGTTCATACTGACTTGAAGAGTTGCTTCCCTGAAAAGAACAACCAAAAAAAAAAATCAGGGCAGCTGATCCACAGCCCTCTGYGTGATACCACCCTGGGCTGCTCAGGAAAACCTTTTGCACAAAWAATTCTCACTGGTGGTGGGCACAGGAGAATGCCAGCATGGGATCAAAGGGGAGCAGCAGAACACAGGGAGAGGGAATGTTGGAGTAGGGAACACATACATGCCAACTTCTCTCAGCACAGGYGCCGGGCACAGCAGGTAGGTGTCCTCCACCACGAAAGGCTTCTCATCTGGAAAAGAGCAATAGTGGCATTTACTGCCAGATGGTAATCCAGGCATTAAAGACCATGTTTAAATAGTGATTTTCCTCACTCTTGATACGTAAACAAGATCAAACACTGCTGGCCAAACACTGCTGGCCAAACAGCGACAAAAAAGAATAATACAAAAACACACAAAAAGTGGGTGAAAAAAACAGAGAGAAAGAAGGACTTTATTGTGGGACAAGCCTCTTTTATCCACTTTAGCAACYAGRRTAYACATTTGTGTCAAACATACATTGGTCAAGAGACAGCTGTTTAATTAGTAATCAGAACATAATTGGTGAGTTTGTAAAAGCTACAGTATTAGTAATGCTTATAATTTCCAGCCACCTGCGTTATCAATTCTACATTCCAATATGCTTTTCTCAAGGATGTGGCATTCCTCCTCCATGTAGGCTGTTAACACTCCCTTTCTTTCCCCAGGCCTCAGTCATACACAATAATTGGCTGAGTTTCAGAATCAGGGCTTGTGGGACAACTCTTTTCCCCCACAAAACACTGTGGGGGACAAAGAGCTGCCCACGTCTGAGGCAAGCACAGCTGAAGGTGTGGAGCTTTTGGAAGGGCAGAGTAAAGGATCACAGCCACTGTGTGCAGGAGCCCAGGTGGARTGGCAGCAGGTTACACAGAAGTGGAGATATGCAAGTTAAGAAAATGGTATATTATGGAAAACTTTTAATCTAAAGGCAGAAGCATCTGAACCTAAATTAAACCTTCCAGCCTGAATTACACTGGCTTTRAAATGGAGTGAGAGAAACTCAACAGGCAATTGCCTGGGAAACAGGACCACTGACTAATATTCCTCTTCTGTAGACTTAAGTCAGAGCTTTTAACCACCACTGGTGGCTGGACAGTGGGGGATCCTGAGGAACTTCCCAGCCCATTTACCAGCTGACTGCAGATGGGGCAGAGGGGCAGAAAAYCAGGAAGCCAGGCTGTGTGGTGGCTGTTTTTTGGGCTGGAAAGCAGAATGTTCCCACAGGAGGGGTTAATTCTGCTCCATCAGAAATCTCCCCACCAGCTGCACCCAGAAGCAGCTCCAGGGCCTTCACAGGGATGCTCAAGACCTGCAAGGAGCTGTTCCCAAATCTCACCAGCACYCTGAAATTTTCCAGTTCAATTTCTCATTCTGTTTGAAACCCCCTCTACTCCTGACAGATTCCATCCCCGTGGACTCTCAAAACTGTAAGTTTCAAACTTCATTTTCAATCTTCTCTCTGCACACTGAGATGGATGAGATGTTTGTTCCCCGGGGCCGCTTTGGGACAGGAGCACAATTTATGCCCATCTTGCTGAGCTGTTTGGCACAGACACAGCAAATCCAGGATCTCTGAGCTTCCAAAGCCTTTACCCAACTTCATCATGCACTTCACTGGTTCCCAGGGTGCCCAGGACACTGGGCACAGGGGAGCAGGGGCACTCTGTTCACTGCCTCACTGGCACACCAGCAATGGGAAGGAGYGAGAATACAAGTTTAACCAAATCATTTAGCACTGGAATGAAGAGGTGAACTGTTCTGGCTGTCTGGTCTTTTGTTTTTGAGGAAATTTGTGCATGTTATGATTCCATTTCAGGTGCCAGTGGAGAAGAGAAAAGCTATGAATAGACACAAGCCAAAGAGAGCAYGGCAACCTTCTCCAAAGGATTTTCTGCATCAGCTGTGAGCCTTGTTCCTTCCTCCCTGGGCTGCTGCTTGCTCACGTGGATGGTGGGCAATGATGCTCAGGACACCACCATCCAGCACTTCTGATCCCCTGCTCTGTTCTCAGCTTTCACAAGCAGGGTCACACAGAACATTTTACTGCCCTTAGGAGTCATAAAGAGGTACTGACTGCAAGAATCTATCCCACTCTGCAGGAGCAGGACCCACCAAGCCATGCATTCCTTCCCAGACATTTCTAGAAGAGGCTTCCAATGAGTACAAAATTTCAGAAAGTGGTAGTATTGCTCTGGTAATTCCTGCCACACGTTAGAATTCCTTTTGCATACTGGTGTATTTCTTTGCTTTGGAAACAATACAAAAGGGTATTTCCTCAGGTAGGTTAGGAACTGTTTATTCTTTACACTCCATTAAAAAAAAAGAAAAAAAGAAAAAAGGTAATGAAAAGTTCTAACCTCCCCTGACATTCTCCTTATGTCTCCAGCTTCCAGCAAATCCCATGCCTACATACACACACTTGGATTTCTGGGTTATCCTCAGCATTTATTTTTTCAAGGACTGTTTGACACTGGCCAACAGCTGAACAAGGAACATTTTAGGCAGCCCATAGGAACAAGGAACATTTTAGGCAGCCCTTCAGTATCCATAGATTGGCTTTGCTCCTCCACCATGGCTCACCTGTGCAGAGCTCCTGGCATCCCTCAGGATCCCTGCTCTAGCTGCTGGCCTGGCAGGTGCCACATTAGTGCTGTTTGCCCCCAGCCTCAGTGCAAGAACTTACAGGGACATTTTTGCTCAGCAAAGCACCAGGAGCAGATGATTTTCCCACAGGGTAYTCCCTGCTAGCCCCATCCTCCAGATGCTGATTACCTCTTAGAGGGGAGGCAGAGCATTGAGAGGTGAAGTGATGCCATGCACAGCCTTCATTGGCATTGCCTCCAGCCCTGCTCTGGGCTAATGGGGAGTGGGCACACACAGACCCTCAGTTTGGCACTGGAGTCACCAAACCACCCAGCATTTCCCTCTCTGCACAAGGCAGATCCACAGTGGTGGTACATCTTGTCTCACAGTGGTGTTCTCACCCTGATTTATGAAGAAATCATTAATTCCCATAAATTTATGACATTGTCTCAGCACACACATGCCAAGAAAATGAAGACCAGTGTCTTGTTTTCTCCTTTGCTAACTCTGGCAGCCGAGGCCAAAGGCTTCTCTGTGCCAGCATTCACTAAAACAAAAGCTGCTTCATCTTGAAAAGCCTTTTACTTAGATCTCATTAGGTTTTTGTTTCTCTTTCTCTCCCTTCCCACTCCCAACTCCCATCAGTCCATGCCTCTCTAGAAAGTTTATCAGCCCTGGAGTCCCCCCAGAGAGCTTGTGGCTGCCCAGGCTGGCTGCAGGCAGAGATTAGTTTGTTTGGAGAATGTTTGTGTTTCACCACAAACATGAGTGACTATTTTCCTCTGCTCTAAAACAAAGAAGATCCATTTGGTTTGCATAACTCTGRCCATCTGACTCCTCCCTGGAAAACTTACACAGGGAAAGCAAACAAARCAACAATTTTCATCTGCTCTTGCATGGGACCTGCGGGATGTGTTGGAGAGAGCGGCGCTTTCCTGCTCTGCTGCAGGACAAACTCGCTGCATCCCAGTGCAGGAAGAGATGGGCTGAATGCTCCCAAGCTCCAGATCTCGTGCCAGACTCTGGATTTTGTGGTTTGGACTGCTGTCAGCTGCCAGTGCTGGTGGAAGGGCTGGGAAGGGAGGGCGGAGCACTTGGCTCATTGCCGTGTTTGCTACCCTGGATGTAATTTTGGTTCCTGGTTGGGGCTGGCTGGGGAATGGTGCAGGAATCACTTCACTCTTTTGACAGTTTCATGGAAGGGATGCCCAGGCCTTGATCACCTCTCAGACACCAAACAAGGGCAGAGCTTGGACATCCCCAAGCAATGCCTCTCTTTTGAGAAAGGCTGCCCACAGTAATGGGCACGAGTTGCTCCCTCCCTGTGCTCCTCTGATCCCTCCTGCACACAAAATCATGGTCTCACTGTATAAATCTCCCCAGATGACTGAAATTGGCCAGTTCTGGGGCCTGAGCCATTCAGAGCAGTGTGCAGGAATGGAGGAGGGTCAAAGCTCCACAAAAACACATCTGGGTTCTGTRGATGCCCTTTCAACAAGGTACTTGATACTGCTCAGACTTCTGCAATTCTATACCCAGCATTCCTACACCTAAACAACTAAATGTAGTCTGTAAAATCTATTACTCCGAGCAGTGAATAATTTCTTATGCTATTAGCAGGGTGTAACCTTTATGCAAGCCAGGACTTGGAATATTTCCCAACTATAATAATAACAGCTTCAATATACGCAGTATTCTTTAACACAAAAGAGCAGACCTMAAAAAGAGAGAGATACTAGAACCCAAAGAAGGTGACTAAAGAGACAGCAGCATTTTCTTGTAGCCATGTAACCATGCCAAAATGGACAGTCTTCCTTTTGGTTAATGGTTTACCCAAGAACCCACTGGTGCACTGAAATCTGACTGTGAGGATCCCTTACAGGAGGGTTGATGAAAACCCAACATTTCCAAACTGCATTATTGCAAGTGCTGATTGCTGGACTAGCAGGATCAGCAATATTTTGGTCCAGAAAAGGCTGCAAAAACTTCTTTGCCAAACTTCCCATACATCAGAGACCAWCAGCTTCCTTCTGCTCTCCCTGTATTTGTGATTTGCATTCAACTAAAGCACACCTCAGAGAAGCTTTGCCCATGTCTGCAGTTCCTGKGGCAGAGGAGGTTCCAATCCAGCCCAGCCCAAGGAGGCTCTGCACCTCATCCCACCTGAGATGGCAGCTTYGAGCCATCCTCAGCACTTCCATCGTCCCTTTGTCACCTCAGATGAGCCAAAACACCTCCCTAACTCTCTGCCCTCCCTACCAAAGCTGTTCCCCCTGGCTGACTTCTCCTCTCCTGCCACTCTTGTGACAACTCTGTGAGCAAAGTTTGTTCTTCAAACCCATTTTGTGGGAGACGGAAATGCAGGAAGATGCTGGAACATTCTCTGAGCTACAGCAACTGCCTACGAGAAAGACCCATTAATAAGAAATGTTTTGTTAGTGCTGTAATGCAAACCACATTGAGATCAGCTGTAATTGCTCTGCTTTGTGCAGGGATGGGGAGCGCTCAGTGCCAAAGCCTYGAGGAGCAGAGTGAGGGGATGGGGAACAGATAAGCACAGAGCAGTGATATCACAWTCCCAGGAACCTCTGGATGGAGGSCAGGGGTTGGTTCTGATGGGYTCCTGTGCTGAGCAAACAACTGTTYAAGGAGCTTTGAGGCTACASCAGAGCCTGGCAGAGCCCCCAGTCTTGGCTTGGGCTCAGGACCATCCTGGGGTCCCTTGAGCAGGARCCCTGGGCCAGCACAGAGCAGCTCCAGCTCCAGAGCTGCCACCATCAGCCCTTCACTGGTGTCACAGGGAGAGACCACCCCAGCAGCACCTGGACTGATGCMTTGATGCCTGAACTAAAGCTCCTGTTCTCCCATCTTCACACAAAACAATTCCTCTCTGAGCCTGAAATCCAAGGACACTTCACTGCCTCAGAGCCCCAAAATATGGAAAYAACAGAGAATTGGGGGAGCAARCTTGGGGTGGGTGACATCATCACCTGAARGTGKMATTGCAGAATTGGGGCCCGATGTGTTCATGAGACAGRATTTATAAAAGGGGAAGATCTCRTGACTCGGGGTCCATTTTTGGCGTTTTAGGCATTAGGGTCACSGGGTGAGCCTGGCAGAGCTGCCCACTCTGCACAGAAGGTCTGCTCCTCACTCAGCCCAAATCCCCTGACTGCCTTGGGCTGATTCCCTCTGCTCCCCTGGGCAGCTGCAGGAACCCTTCTGCAGGCAAAGGCACAGGGATCCTCTGTTCAAAGTTCTGATGCTGTAATTTGTTGGAGGCTGGGGGAGCGTTTGAGGGAKGCACAACATTTCTTCCTTTTTTATATTCTTTGACAAGCAGGGATTGGGCCACCCTTCCAAACAGGAGCCAAGCTCAYCTCGGTGCAAGTTCTCACCTGGGAAAGATGAGAGGGATGAATTGTGCCCCTCATAAAGGTCACACCCACCAGAACACCTGAGGGAGTTTGTACAGAGATGGACATTCCCTGCTACCGGAGTGGAAAGATAGAAAAGTTGCTCTTAGAAAATAAAAAGATTCAGTGAAGGGTTACGGTGGCATGATCAAGGAGGGAAATCAGGGATTAGAGAGTGGAACTGCAAAGCAAAACATTCCTGTGCTAGGAGTGAGAAGGCTGCAAGAAAGTAAAGAGGATATCACAAGGAAAGTGCTGTGCTGCCAGGAGAAATGAAAGATGGGGGAAATGGAGCAATTTGTTAGGCTTTAAATCAGAAGACAATTTTTAGAAGACATTTGTTGGGCAGTCTGGGAATCCAGTTCCYCATCCATCTCACGCTCTGCTGATACCTGGCACAGGCCTGCTCCCAGTGTCTTTGTCTGAATAAAGAAAAYTCAGGCTAGTTTGTGCAAAGAATGGGGTTTGGCCAAGCATCCAGAGCATTCACTTGAGTGCAGCAGATCCAGCCCTAGCTCTGCTGTAGTGCCTGCTCCTTCACCAGCCTTTCATCTCTCTATTCAGTTTTCAATTGCTTAGGGCAGAGCTCAGCCTCTCTGCCCAGAGCTATCTTTGCTGGCTCCTGCACAATCTGGGCACACACAGACATTTTAGCACCACAGAGTAGCCATAAGTCACTGCACTGGATAATTACTTTTAACTCTGTGCAGGCTAAACCCAATTCTCCCAGGTCCTGCTGCTGGCAGGAGCACCCTGCTGCTGAACATGCATCTGATTGCAATTCTGCTCAGCCAAATATTCCTCATGGCTTCTACAGATGTGCTTTTTTTTTTTTTTTTTTTTTTTTTTTTTTTTTTATCCCATAACTAGGAACATTATGAGTCGATGCTCTCTTCACCTTCCACTTTTCCCTGCCAAGAATCCCAATAAAACCCCATTATCTCATGCCTTTAACCTCAGCACATCCTAGCTGTGTTCACTACATCTCATCTGGGATAATTTATGATTTCAGGAACCACTGGCTTAGTGTTATCTTTAAAAATACCTCCTGTCCTCAGACAATCAGAGGCAGAGAGGTTTCAAGCAAACAAAGACAGCTGAGATATCCAACCTCCATGAGGTTTYCATAAAATCCTGGTCCAGTTCTCTTTGGGTTGGCTGTGTGAGTTGGGAGCTGCAGGCTCTGGGATCTCCCACAGAGCAACTCGAATCCAGTAGAGCTGTGCCAGTTCCCACCTGGAGAGAGCTGGTTTGGGAAGTTCTGAGTCCCTCAGTCAGGGAGGGGCTGAGCTCAGAGCTTCAAACCAGCCAGGGCTGAGAGGAGCACACAGAGAGSTCTTGGTGTGGGGCCAAGCTCAGTGAGCTCCCTTCTCACCCCTGCATAAATACACCACGAATGCAGCAGAGCACAGGGCAGGAAACATTTCTGGCCTCTATCCTCATTTTCCACAGCCACTTTGTGGACACAGGAAGGCAGCTTCACATCCAAAAAGCCYAGGGGCTGTATTAAGGTTAGCTGATCTTCCTGAAAGCTACAATGGAATTGATACCATAAAAAATGATTGGGCTTGACAAGCAGTGAGGAAAGAGGAGGAAAGACACCTCCTGCTCCTCCTGCTGCTCCTCCTCCTCCTCCTGCTCTTCCTCCTCCTCCTGCTCCTCCTGCTGCTCCTCCTCCTCCCTGCCCCAGCAGGTCCCAGTGTTTGGGATTGGGGACACTCTCAGCTCCTCCCGTGGCAGCACTGGCTGTGTTTGTGTCCCCACAGGCATTCCCAGCTCCGTGAAAGCCTCAGGATGCTTCCAGGAAGGAATGTCTCACTCCAGAGCCCTCCAGCTCCCGCTCCTCGCATCCTCAGCACTGACCACATCTGAATTAAGCAGATGTGAACCATGGCCAAGCAAACTGTGCTCRGTGCCAAGAGCTGGCAAGTCCAGAGCTTGCCTGTTAGAGGAGGTCACTTGAAGAGCACAACTGTCCCACAGCTGCCCCGAGGGCTCCTGGCATCCCACACAGGGCAAGCAGCCTGAGCAAACCTCCTCTGCTCCAAAGAACAGGTTACACAGATGCTCAAACCACAGAGCCATTAGATTTACTCTTTTTAGAACTAATTAATGAATTTGTTTTTTCCTGAAGAAGGTCAGGACCACCTCCAGAATACACAGGCATTTTCTGAACGAATTCTTTGTTAGGAAGGATGGATTCTACTGTCACTGGTGGTGTTTGTGTGAGTTATCTGATTTCCCATGGGGCCAGACAAGAGCAGCAGGRTCTTCAGTTCTGCAAGCTCAGCAGCTCTCAATGCACATCACAAAGAGACCAAACTCTCCTCAGTTCTTCTGCTGGGGGAACTGCACAGGGAACATCTTCCCAAGCTTCCCCAGCAAGGCCTGAGCCCCTACAGCTCCCACAACAGAGCTCAGCTGAGCTGCACTGGCCCA